TATATATATATATATAAAATTAAAGAGAATACATTTCATATTTTCATTTTCATATTGTATAAATTCATCAAAAGCATAAATGATGAAATAACCTTAAAGCAGAAATCATTATGTCAAGGGAAAGCAACAACCTTTGCTCGTAGACAGGGCGGGGACCTCAGAGCGTGTTTATGGTATTCATACACATATTATATTTACCTTTTTATATTGTATAGTAACAAAATAACAAATAAATAAATATATAATGATACAGACATCCATTTTCTATAACCAGATTTAGTCCCTAACATTTCCAATATGAGCTATTTGCATATAATTTTTTTTCATGAACCATTTATTATAAAATAAATGTTCAGTTTGGTTTTATGTTTCTTACATCTAATTTCTGTAATTTAATAATATTTAATTTTATTTTTGATTATATCTATATTTAACTCTTTATTGATTATCACTAAGTAATCTATTCAATTAATTATAATATTTGATTTTACTATTCAATATCGAATATTCACTCCTTATATAGTATTTTTCTTTATCTTTTTTATTTTATATTTAGATACGTTAATTGTTGTAGTATCTTTTATTTTCAATGAAAAGGTCTAATGTAGATGTTTTTTAGTTTAGTTTGTGTGTGGCATTTCGTAATGTATGTATAAAAGTGAAGAATTAAATGAATTTGTTTATAAAACATTTCAAATAAATGAAAATAAATTAATTAATTTAGAAAAAATAATTAAAGGTTAACCATATTAAAGGAGTTTATTATATGACAAAAAATGTTAAATCATTTTATAAATTAACAAATATAGATGAACAAATAATGATAATAAGGACATTAATCCATAAATACCTTAAATATATATTGTTCCAACAAAAATTGTAGACTTTTTTGGTTTGAGTGAAAATGAAGTCAAAGATGTAAAAGCATAAAAAAGCAAAGAAATTGGAGTAAAGTAAAGTGATAGAGAGGGACATCATCATGCCACACCAAGCCAAAAATGAGATTACAACTCTCCTTCCCAAAACATAATTTTTCTTTAAATTTTGAAATTTAAGTCCGCGTTTATTCATCCCACATATCTCCATATGTCATCATTTTGACCCAAACCAACGAATACCAATTGTCACAAAACATTTTCAGTTTTGTAATCTAAGATTTTCATTATAAAAAAACCATAAAAGTTATAATAATTTCTCAAATCTTAGGAAAAAAGGATTTTGATTGTACATCCACGAACATAATCGAGGAATCGTCAAATTAATTTACGACTTTAAAATTACATCACAATACTAATAATCACAAACACATAACAAATGCTGCAAACCAAACACGAAAAAGTAGACCATAAAATATTATCAGATAAACTAGATGGAAGAACCATCATAACAATCAGTCTTCAGTTGTTGCAACCGAAGGTGACATTGAATTACGCGACTCCTCGTAATCTTCCCCTATCGGAGACATCTCCACTCTTATTTCTTCTATCATCTTCACAACTTCCACCATTGTCGGCCGCTTTTCAGGTTGTGCTGCCACACAAGTCATGGCAACATGAAGCATCGAAACAAGTTCCTCCTCAATGTTCTTGTACCTCAATAATTCTTGGTCAAACACTTCAGCAGTCCACTCATCACGCACCACTGACCGAACCCATTTCGGTAAATCCACTGCTTGTTCCTCTTCATCGACACCGATGCGGGAAGGCGAAGGGTATATCGATGGAGCTTTGCCGGTTAGGAGTTCTAATAGTAAAATCCCGAAACTGTAAACGTCTGCTTTTTGAGACAGTCTTTTGGTTTCGAATTGCTCGGGTGCCTTGTACCCGCCTAGTCTAGCAGTGGCGTGGGCCGGGTTTAAAAGTAATGATAATCCGAAATCAGATATGCAAGCGACTCCGTTTTTGTCGAGTAGAACGTTTGATGATCTTATGTTTCCGTGAGGGATTCTTGAAGTCTTGTGTTCTTCATGGATACGGGCTAGCCCGCGGGCTGCCCCTAGTGCCAAGCTGATTCTTGTCGTCCAATCTAATGGAATTCTTCCAGGACCCCTATTTCCTGTAACGAGGACAATTTTGTCATTTAATATTAATATATTTTAATTTATATGTACACCAAAATTAAACGTAAAACATTCTTATTCTCTTCTATCACCAACATGAATTTTTGATATTAAACCTAATTAGTTAATTTAATTACGCTAAATCAATAGATCAAAACCAATTAGCGGTAAATGGAAGTGGGGATTTGAGAAGTATCATGAAGGAGCAAATGCAAGATTCGATTAGATCAAAGTATCAAATCTCACATTGACAAAGATGAAACAAAACTGATTAATTATGAAAAATGAGTAGGGAAATGAGAATTACCATGGAGGAGAAAATGCAAGCTTCCATTAGGGAGATAATCGTAGACAAGAAGCTTCTCTTCCTTAGCATAGTAATAAGCTCTCAATTTCACTACATTTTGGTGTTTAAGCTTCCCAATTACATCCATATACTGTTCGAACTCCTTCCTTCCACAAGGATTTGCATCTTTCAGCCTTTTCACAGCCACCACCGTGCACCCGTCGTCAAGCACCGCCCTATACACCGTCCCCAAACTTCCTTTCCCAAGCATCTCTGCCGACGCTCGCAATAAATCCTCTAATTCGAACTTCTTCTTCTTATCGAAGAACACCAGTTTGTTGTTCCCATCACTGTCTCCACCACCGCCATTGTTAGCATATACTCTGCTTTCGCTGCCGTAGCTGCTTCTGCCTTTTCCGATCTCAGAACCCAATTTTGAATTTGAGGTTACAGATCTCTTCCCACAGTAATATGCAATTAGGAACGAAGCGATCACAAGTAGTAGTACTGAATTTGCGATCACGATCGCTACGATGGCTGCTGGATGTAGCCCTCTACGTGTTTGCTTTTTTGTCTCATCGATGATCGTGGTAGTAGGTAACGAGCTAGGGTTTGACTGTACAGTCAGGGGAGGTGTAGCGGCTGAACAAGCAGGCAACGGACTTGATCCGCAGAGTCCTTTGTTGCCGGAAAAGCTCTTGTCACCGAACTTCTGAGCAATATTCTCCGGCAAATGACCGTACAACTCATTGTTTGACAAATTCAGTTGTTTAATTTGAGATAGAGAAGAGAGAGACTGCGGGATTTCACCTGAAATCTCGTTGTTCTCGAGGCGGAGTGTGAGAAGACGAGTTAATTTCGAGATTCCGTCTGGGATCGGACCTATGAGGTTGTTATCCGAGAGGTCTATACGTAAAAGACGAGTGAGAGACGATATTTCCGTCGGAATAGATCCAGATAAGTCGTTGCCGGAGAGATATATGAGTTTGAGGTTTGTGCAGTTGACGAGGGGTAAAACAGTGCCGTTAAGGCGGTTGTCGCGAAGATCGAGAATGCGGAGTTGGTCTAGAGAGGAGAGAGAGTCGAGGGGGCCGCGGAGGTTGAGGGAAGGGAGGGAGAGGCCGGTGACGCGGTTGTTGGTGCATTGGACACCTGCCCAAGGGACGGAGCAGGCGGTGGAGTGAGTGATGGAAGAGAGGGTCCAGTTAGAGAGGAGGATGCCATGAGTGTCGGTTTGTGATCGGAATAGAGATAAGGCGGCAGTGTCGCCGTCAACGTCGGCAGTGGTGGAGAGGGAGAGAGAAATTGGGAGGAGGAAGAGGAGGAGGAGAGAAAGAAACCGGAAAACCTCCATTAGAAAAGATGGAGAGAAGGTTACGCGGGAAAGAAGTGTGATATAGAGCATGCTTTTCAAAGTGAAAAAGCAAAATAATAAGTGCTCTTTTTTCACAAAAATAAAATTACTCAATTTGCAATTTTGCAAAATAGATACGAATTAATATGACTTGTGTTATATTCGTAAAGGATAAAAACATAAAACAAAAAAACTTCACTAAAAAACAAAATGGATCGCCTCATGTTGTAATAAGAGTAATTAGATCATTTTATTTTAAAATAAAACATTAACTCATTATTTGAAAATAATATAAGCTTTGTTGTTAGGCATTTTTGTGGTTAACTTTTTAAAATATTATCACAAATATTCTTTAATTGTTAATACTTTCAAAAGTTTTCTTGTTAGTTAAACAATTCATTCTTCTCTATTTTAAATATTTATCAAACTCCATCATAAAATTATAATTTTTTTTCATTTTTAAGCATTCATCAAATTTCCAAAAACAATAATATTACTTAACTTTAATATTTAAATAAATAGAAATATTTCATTGTGGGTATTTTAAAAATAGGTCTAAATCTATAATTTGTATTTTAATATTAAATATTTATGTAATTAAAATATTGACGATGACTTTTTAGGGATATAAAATTTTAACTAAAATACATAAACTAACAAAAAAATAACAAAGTTTTAATATGTAACTATAACTATGAATTGCTATATAATAGAAAGGGCCAAGATGTTTATAAAAAAAATATTATTTCAATACATTAATTGTTTGTAAGTATATATTAAAAAACATCATATCTTTAAATTCGCACATAAAAACTGATTACATTGTCTTAAAAATAATTGCATTGTTATATTACCCCTTGCAGCGTTCGACACGTCCACTAATAATAGTAAATGAAATATTTTAAGATATTTTTTTATGGTTTCGTTATTATGTTAAATTTATAATTTTCATGATGATCTTTTTCTCTCCATAATTACCTACAAGAAAAGTTGTAGATAAGAAATAATAAACAATCATTATAATGCATGTGGATCCACTCAATTTTAACATTATAATTAGATATTCATATTTACGACATAGGAAACTTCTTTGACAGAATGACAGTGGCCTTCCATAAAATGAGTACATTTCTTTTAATAATCGTTGCATTTGATCTTTTAAATCATTTCAATAATCGCTTTTCATATGAATTATTTATACTTTAAGTTAACCAATAATCATATAACAAAAATTGGTGATATCGAAATGCAAAATTAAAACATTTCAAACAAAATCTCAAATCTTATGGACTAATGAGAGTTGAATTAAGAAAAGGGAGTATGGAGAAGAAGGGTGGTTGGAGGCATGATTGGTGTCTTTAAAAGTACCCACATGGAAGAGGGTAAAAAGCTCCCAAAGGCATGCTTCCTCTTCCTCTTTTTCATTTTTCAACTTTGACATAAAAAGAATCATGATTACTTATCTGGGTAAAACTAATAAAATAAAATAAAAAGTAAATCGTCGCCTTAGTGGCCATTGTGAATATTGTTTGTGATTGTGAATGTTTAAAGGGAACACAGTAATTATATAATTGTTTATAAAACAAATATAGTGATCGTCCGTGATCCAATAATAGATGCATGACTATTTGATATGTTTTTTTAAGTCTGGTAAGAGGCTGAGTCTAACCTAGTCAGATTCAGATATTACAATTATAAGTTTCTAATTTGGTAATATAGTCTCTGATATGCTATTTATTGGGTTTGGTAAGATATTGAGTCTAACTTGGTCAAAATCAAACCACTTGATACCATAATTATAAGTTTTCAATTTGGTTCTATAATATATGATATGTCTCTTGTGTGATGTGTCTCTTACTGGATATGGTTATGGTAAGAAGTTGGGTGTGTCTCAATCAACAACTATCAAACATTCTCTAAATCTTACAATCATGTTTCAATAATCCTTTACCATCAACAATACAATTAACATGGAAGATGTTAAACCAATAGAAAATCCTACATAAACAAGGGTAAAGGTACTATAGATTTTGGTAAAAACATTTAGTTTTCTTGACATGAATGCATCGACAAAAAAGGCATAATATATACACATCTTTGAATACATAGATAGGGATACGAGTAATTATTATATGTATGGGTGATTATGGCTTTGGGAAGAGGGTAATGATGTAGATGTAACAACAAACTTGTAGAATAGAATCACCAAATTGAAAAAATAAAACAGCAAAATACAAATTAAATCCATACAATTGTAATGAATTTTCCTATTATTCATATATATTTTTTACATTGGCGTTTTTGTAAAGACTGAAAAGACAAAAAGAAAAATGAGAAAGAAAAGTTGCTCGTTCTTCTTTTAAATTTGCCAAGGGAAGAAGAATCCAACCCCAAAAATCTAATCCTGTCACCATAAATATATATTATATGTATTAGTTCTTTTCTTGTCTTTTGTCCAAATTGTCCATGTCAAGTCCTTCATCTAAAAAGGCGAATTCCATGTTCATGTGTATTCAATATTTCTTTTTGAGATATTTACAATCTGTAATAGGGCATTTGTTGTGGAGCTACTTCTATCTCAATTCAAGCCATTCCCATCAAGAAAACGCATCCACTTTCCTACAGTTTAGAGCATCAAACAACAAAAATGGCCATATTCTTGATATGTATCTTACATAAGTATTTCAGATACAATAACTAGGAAGTTATATTATATATATTTTTTGTATTACCTTAAGATGAGGATACATACATTTGTTGTTCAAGATCCTTGTGCCTGAATTTTTCTGTAAATATGAAGTTCTAGAAGGTTCCAAACATTTTCAATAACCCCACTTGAAAGAACACGAAATGCCTGTTTTGCAGCCATGCGATGTGCTTCTAGAAGTTGAGGATCACTGAGAAGCTTGTCTAGAATTTCTTCTAGCTCCATACCTCCACCTACCTGTAGGGGCATTTATGTCATATTACCAAAAATTAATAAAGAGTTTTACAAGGCCCAAATATTCACTTGCTTCAAAAAAATTCAACCTGCATTACTGATAAAGGATTCAACCTCTGCATTGCCATGATCATATGTGAGAAATGACCAACATGTTGACCTAACATTACCAAAATCACCAAAATCTCAAAAAGTTCAAAAATACAAACAAAAAAAAAATAATAAATAAAATTAAAATTTACTCACCAGTTAAAACAGCACAGCCTACAGCAGCAGCCTCGGAGATATTATGGCCAGTTAAGCCAGGCAAGAAAGAACCTCCAATTACAGCTATAGGGGTAAATCTGTAAAATTCCCTCAATTCTCCTACATTAAAGAAAACATTTTTATTCTATGAGAATTCAACTGAAATACAAAAATCACACTTATTTATTTTAAAAAGACAAAAAAACCTAATGTGTCCACCACGTATACACTTGTTTCAGATGTAAGTGAATCACCACATGACCTCAGCGCCACATGGACCCCTTTTTTCTGCAAGTCCTATATACATAATATTTATAAAAAAAAGATCAAAAAGAATTTTAGTAAGTTATAACTTATAATAAATAAAGAGAAAGTTGAGATGGAATCATGGAATCATACAAGAGCAATCTCCTGCCCTAGATCTGGATGCCTAGGAACAATGAAGGCAAGAATACTGGTGTGCTTTTGCATTAAAGCTCTATGAACTGATACCATTACTGTAAAAAAATGATTAAAATGTATTACCACTTCTGTTAAAAGAATGTTAAAAAGATTCAGTGATCAATTAATCATCACATCACCTTCTTCTTCACCCTTATGTATTGATGAAGCCATCCAGACACATCTATCAGTAATTTTTTCCTGTAGATCTTCTATATTTCTCATGTTTTGACTTACATTGACTTCAGTTCCTGAAAAGTCAACATCATATATATCAGTGAATAACTATCATAAAAGGGAGTATAGACTTTATGGGACATGAGACATACCAAGTTTTAGGTCACCAGAGAAGTTAATGATAGAAGGTGGAGCTTGCAGCAGTTGAAAACTAATTGCCTGAATATTGCTCTGGAATAGAACAAAAGTATAAAGATTTTATAACAGAGATGCGAATTCAAGAATGAAGTAAAGGAGATCATACCAATGGAACTATGAGTGAAAATTTGGATAGCATCAATGAAGTAAGTAGACGAATTACTGGTGTTGACCAGTTGTTAAAGGATTTTGTTGACATTCGAGCATTTAATAATGTTAGCATAACCTACACAAGATGAAAGCAAATAGGTTAATAAGTTGAATTCATAGATTTGAAAAACAAAAGTGAATGAAAAGGTAAAGGTAAATTATATTTATATTATACTAACACCATTTGCTGAGGCAGTAAGAACAAGATTTGGCCATAGTTCACTTTCCACTAGCACAAGTGCATATGGCTTCCAATATTCAAGAAAAGCATTCACAGCAGCAGGTGTATCAACTGGAGCAAACTGAATTAGGGTTCAATAATCATGAATGGAACTGAATTCATACAGAAAGTTAGCAAATGTAACCTGTATCATGAGATATAAACATATATATACCTGATATATGACATCACAAGGAAGCAAAGTCTTTAGTACTTCACTGTAACAACAATAGAAAGGAATCAAAAGATTTTTATATAGAACGAGTATTAGGATGTTGCTTGAGGGGATATGAAAAGGAGATAGAATACGATTGATACTTACAATGCAGATGCTGTAGTTGTCGTCATCAAAACAGTTACATCAGGTCTTCGTTCAACACATCGTTTAATCACAGGCACCACACTCATTCCTTCACCTGTTGGCCACTTTCATAAGCTTAATTAAGGAATTTACAAACAGCATCATATTCATACATCCTACAAACATATAGTATAACAGGATTTCTAGAGAGATATGTAGAACCTAGGGAAACGGCGTGGAACCAGATAAGGGAGCCAGGAGGCCGAGGGAGAGACGGTCGACCAAGGCGTTCCGGCCACCGGAGAGGATGCTCGAGGCCTCGGAACTTGCGCCACCGGAGATGAAGATTTATCAGCGGTGATAGACCATATGTGACAGCTCTGTATATCATGTAAACCATTTCACCGCCTTTCATCGCCCCCATTTTCGAATCCGTTTTGAGTTCAAGCGGCTCTTTACTGAAGTCAGCGGAGTGGACCCGTTGGAATTGCCGTTTATGGAGATCACACAAGAAAAATTAGAATAAAGACTCAATGGTCAAATTGCACCTTTAGTCCCTAATTTCAAAAATTAACTCGATCATCCTCCCTCGTATAATTAAAAGTTGCATGTTTCGTCCTTGACAGACATGAAATGACTATAATACCATTTTCTATTTATTTTTCATTTGTTTATTATTTTTGATTTATTTTTTATTAAAAGCAATACCCCCTACTGCTCGTTACCCTCTACTCTCATCCACCCCCAACATTCTCATACTTTTTTCTATCCTCGTGAAGAAGAACCACCAACAGTGTCCGGTGGAACCACCATCACCGTCATCATAATCTCTGACGAGATGTTTGTAAAGGATTTTTGGATCTGAAGGATCGCCATCATCCCGTCTCCGATGGAACCATCAACGACTCAATAACTATTGCTGATGGAACCAACAAATCCGCAATCACCATCACACTAGTCTCCAAAGAAAGACCCAGCCACAGTCTCCACCATCACAAAAAACCCTGAAACAGCTTGTCCAATCACTCCTCCACCACCGAGAATCATCGTTAAAACCCTTACAGTTACTGTAGCAAAAATCAAACCCACAACCCAATGAAGAATCTGTCGTCAATATGGTGATGGTGGATTGATTTTCTGAAATCAATGTCTGCTTCTATAATGAACGATCTCTGTAAGCCTAAAATTGATTTTCTGAGTAACTTCTCATTCTCTCTGTTTCAGCAAATCGAGTTCTTGATTTATGGTTTAACCTTCTTTCTTGTTGCAGCTGATTTTAGAGTTCCAGATGAATGGTTGTTGTCAATGGAAATAATTAGAAATAAATGGATTTGAGCCACTGGGTATCAACCCTATCATGTTCACTGTCAATGGCAAGACGGGAAGAAACTAGATTCCATTAATGACACTAACCAAGCTTCGATTTTAGATGGAATGTGCATTTTGGGTTTTAATGGAAAACAAAATTATTGTGTGTTTGTTTGTGTATGTTATGTTTGGAAAATAGGAGGGAGTAGTCTTTAATGGCTGAGATTTAACAGTCGGAGTTGAGCGTTGTGTCGAAAATGTGGCTGGTGGTGGTGCCGGGAAATGTATTTGATGAAGAAGGGGGTGGAGGGCGATGGATAGGTGAGTGTAGAGCTGGTGGGTCCCACTAAAATATTAATCACAATATTTCATTTCTTTTAATGTATAAATTACAAAATAAATGTTAAAAAACTGATTAAGAAATAGAAAAGGGCAATATAGTCATTTTATGTCTTTTAGGGATGAAACGTGCAACTTTTAATCATACGAGGGACGATCCGAGTTAATTTTTGAAATTAGGGACTAAACGTGCAATTTGGCACTTGGACCAGGGACGAATCATGTAATTTACTCTAGAATAAAAGTCACCGAGGGTATACAATTTTTGGTTTAGGGAAAATGAGTATGTTTCAACATCGTTTAAAAAATCATCATTTAAGTTTATTTAAGTTTAGACGGTTTAAAAACATCATTTAAACGAAGTTCTTATATAAAAAACACCAACAAACTATATATTTTGTTCAAATATCACTTTATAATAACTAACAGATACCGATAAAATATAATTAAAACAAAAAAACAAAAGGAAATGATTCAGGAGAGTAACTATGTCTTAAAATCATTCAAAAAACACTATCGAAGTTTTGTTTGTTCAAAAAAATATCATCCAAGTAAGGTTTTGTATAAAAAACCACCAATAGACTATACGTATTTTTGAAGGTTACCCACTGATAACCGACTATTGTAGGTTAAAAAATGACTTGGCCTAATTATTGGTGGCATGACATCATAGTCAGTGACATGGCTAGTTGATACATTCCTCCTTTAAAAAGCAATTTAGGGCTTCTTTATGAATGAAAGATTGGAATTTGTGAAAAAAGGGGATAAATGTCCATCGGTCGCTCACGGAATGAGATTTGTGAAAATTGGAAGATGCATAATAGTTTGCAATCCATTCCAATTTAGTCATGTACCTAGGCGAGATGCAAACAACAAGTATACTTCACCATACTACAAATTGACATATATATTAATCACGACACTATTGTAGTCACATTACAAATTGACAAACATATTCAAAAAAGTGTATTGCTCAAGATTGTTATACTACCCATAACAATAGCTTACACATATATGTATTCAAAAATATAGGAAAAAGACATGATAAAGATTTTGGTTAAAGTTTCCATTCGGTTGGGACAAACCCTGAAGTTTTTGACAGGATTAGTCTTCACCCAAATTCGAGAAGGATGCCCACAACCACAAGGGTTTGTATCATCAAATATCTTATGTGTCTTTAAAATGTGTGAGATTGAGTTGGAGATCATCAATGGAGAAGAAGACGAGCAATCAGAGGAGAAGAAGTCGATCATTCATGAAGAAGCCCTAAATTAATTTATAAAGGATGCATATATCAATTAATGTCTTGTCACTAATTATTCTGTCATGTCATAATAATTATGTCAAGTCATCCTTTAACTTATAAGAGCCGGTTACCGGTGGGTAATATTTGAACAAAACATATAGTTTGTTGATGTTTTTTTGTACAAAAGCCTTACTTGGATGATATTTTTTGAACATATCAAACTTGGTGATGGGTTTTAAGCATAACAATAATTCCTATGTGTGCATGCAACCGTAATGCTTTGGATCTAGGTTTTCTCTAATTGAACATGCAAACTTGAGCACAAAAGAAGAAACCTTAGGAAGTAACTATAATTTTCGAAATCAACATGAAACTAGGGTTAGGTTACATACCTTGATTGTTATATTGTAATAACAATGATTCCCTTGTAGATCTTGAACTTTGAGAGCAAGTGTCACAAGTGTCACACCTCTAACGGCTCACAAATACACCAAGCAAGAGGATGATTATGAGAGGATCAGAGGGGAGGTAAATTTCGGTTCTTCCTTCTAAGGAATGATGGCCGAAGATCCAAGTGTAGATGTCCCTTTATATAGTGCACCAAGGATGCTATAGATAACTCTAATCTGAATAAAATAGCATTATTTCAAATATGATAATTATCCACCTCCTTTGATTATCCATATAATATAAGATAATCTAGAAATTCTAGAATTATCTTATTATATTATATAATTTCATCCACCACCTTCCTTGGAAGGTTCTGGACCCTTTTGCTCAACTATTGAACAATTACACTTTTAGTCATTGCACTTTTAATTAACTCTTCTAATCCCCAAATTAATTCCAAATTAATTTCTGATTAAATATTAATTAATAATATGATTTATAATTAATATATTATTTCCATAATACATTACTAAATCATTTATTTCAATTTATTATTCCAAATAATAAATTCTTCCTCTTTCTCAACAGTTCATCCTGTCTAGTTGCTAGTGTGAAGACAACTCAAAAGAACTGTGCTACTATCAATTCAAATACATACAAATTATAGTTATGAGCTTAGACACCTAATCCAACACTTGGATAGTGTTTTTTGAATGATTTTGAAACATAGTTACAATTTTAAGTCATTTCCTCTGGTTTTTTTCCCTTTAATTATTTTTTACCGGTAATTGCCGGTTACTTTAATGTGAAATTTGAACAAATTATGTAGTTCGTTGATGTTTTTTGTACAAAGGCTTTATTTTGATGATATTTTTTGAACAGACCAAAATGTTTTTTGAACGATTTTGAAACATAGTTACCAGTCATTTTCCCTTTAGTTTAAACCCAAATCTCCTTTTTTGAGTTTTATTCAAATAATGATTGTATTCTTTATTATATTTTTTCTAAGATGGGGTAGTAAAAAGAAAAAAGACAGTGAGTCGTGTTCTCGATTTTCATTTAAAAATGAAAATGAAATGAAATGAAAAGAAAGAAATGTAGAGGGTTTTCTCCTTTACATTTCCTTACCTTCTCTTTCCTTCTCTTCTCTTCAATTTTAAATTCCATGGTGTAAAAGCTTTTCCAATTCCATCCAAAGTTATAGTCTATTTTGTGCGAGATAGTTGAATGACATACCACATATGGGCGTCTTGATGTGAATTTATAACAACACTAATAACTATAGATATACATAAGACAATGGGGTAACCTTATATCCTTAGATATATACTATTACGTCCCCTCAATCTGTTTGGGATACTCCTAGCGTTGTTTCTATCAAATATATATTGTTGAGTATAAATGCCCTTTGAAAAAATATCAACAATAGTTGCTTCATTCGATCTTGATGAATAGGAAAAATATCAACAACCTAAAGTCGAATGAAAACATTCGATCTTGATGAATAGGTATAAGTAGTTAAAAAAATTAATTGTAGATGTTTCTTTTCTCAAAAATGGTTTTCCATGTGAGAGATAATTGAATGGCTTAATAATTGCATTAATACATAAGTACATAACACAATGGGCTGGACCTATGGCTATATAACAAGTATATTTAGTTATTTACTATTACATTACAGTTCTATATAACAAACAAAACCTAAACATTTTATATTACAAAACTTGAACAAACACCTCACACGAAACTTTATACAAATGATAGTAAAATTGTCAAATGCACCAAGACACGCTAAGGTTTCCAAACAAACCACGAGCATCCAGCAACGTGGAATGTTATTTACATTTTACAACAACAATAAACAAGACCTAAGTTTACACTCTACATGAGACTCATCCATCTCAAACTCAAAAGAGAACCATGTTATCCAAACAAACTAAACAAGATCTCAACAAATACCATTATGTCACGAAGACAAAAATCTCACACCCAATTAGTCATATATCCCAATCGGACCTATCTTACACTTATGAACCGAATAATCCTCACACTCCATACCACACGCAGACCCCAAAAAAGCTTTATCATTAATCTCTCTCCCAAATCTTGAAACATAATGAAGCCCCATTACAAGCTCTGTAATTGCATCTTCACACTTCACTTGATCCGCATAATGTAAAGTATTAACAAGAAGCACATTTCCTCCCAAACCCATTCGTTGCTTCTCAAAATTCCTCTCAGAATGCCATTCTATCATATTATGAGCAAGTGGGGACAACCAATCGAGTGTTTTTTGCATCAATGAACTCCACTCATGTGCAACAACACGGCTATAAACCTTGAAACCCTCGTTTCTAATTTTCACTCTAAATGAGTTCTTGATTCTTGTGGTTAACATTTGATAAAGATCTCCTCGTGCTTCAGGACAAATAAAGTGAGGCGAAATCGCTAATCTTTCAATAAATATAATCACATTTGCATAATGAAGAGATAAACCCGCGTCACCAAGTGTTGGTTTTTGATCATGTAACAATCTTTTCTTGGAATCGAACAAAATGTAACCCGTTTTTAGTGATTTGATATGACCCGAGTTTCTTGATTTTATAGCTTTATCTCCAAGATTCGATGCTGACCTCTTAATGTCACGTTCAAAAGGGTAGACCGATACAAGGGCAGAAATGGAATTACTTCGCGCAAAACAACTACCCTTTCGAATATCACTTCCTCCACGTGAGATATGAGCCGAGGATCTTTGTGTTATTCCGAAAACGCCCTTCACCCTATTGACTATTGTGAAAAGCGATTGAACTAGTAGTCTGAGAATGTAATCATACGGGCAAACCCACACTGACATCTCACGCAGACCAGCGACCTCTTCACGTTGCCACATCACTTTCTTCTCAAATTCGTGTAATTTCATTGCATCCGTGTTATTTTCTTGCTTTCTTTGTAAACCATTTTCGAGCTCATATAACACTTCCAATTCTTCATACAACTGTGAAGTAACTGCAGCAAATCTCTTCATTTTTTTAACTTGTTTTTCCATTTTCTTCAATTTATACTCCCACCCACACCAATTAACATCGATTTCAAGAGGGTTATCAAAAATGTGGTCAAGATTATGATAAATTGGATCTGTTGACTTTTTCCCGAGCCTAGCCACGGCTTGAGCCACACACTTGATGTTTTCTAGGATTTCAAGTAGTGCAAGCTCCATGAGGTAATTGTGGTCATCTGAAACGAGTTTCTGAGTTCCAATTGAGTTACTGAGTTGGTCTTGTAACCGGGTCATTTGTTTATCGGATAGGAATTGCCATAAGTTAGCTATTTTTGCCATTAATCTGGAGACTTCGAATGACATGATCCCGATTAATGGTTTTTTGGGCTCAAAAATTGTGGGTTTCCGTGAAGATTTCCAAATAGTAGTAAACCATGATAACTCCTTGATTGTTTCGATCCCCATTCTTGAAACAGAAAGTTACAAAAAAATCTTGGTGTTTATTTACTAATCCTGCTAACGAAACGATAAGATTTCCAGTTAAAAATAATTGAATTCATCAATAACTCACATAAATCTAATCAATTTTGAAGTTAAAATGCTTGCTCATTTGCCCCTATAAAGATAACAAATTTTGAAAAAACTTGGTAGGAAAACCTTGGTTTAATTTCGCATTTGAAGAGGCAAAAAGCTAAGAAATTTGAGAAAATACAAAATATCGTGGCTTTTATCAAGACCCACATGAAGTATCAAAAAGAAATTACTGATATGGATCGATCGTCCTCTAGGTCGAATCAAGAAATCCACAAACAATTTGATAAGCTGAAAGAAGAATGCTAACCATAAATTGATTTAATTATGTATCTGAAGCAGCAGAAAGTAAACAAATTGAGAAAACACAAAAGATCGTTTCTTTTAGAAATACCCACTTGAGTTTCAAAAACAAATTACAGTTCTGAGTCGATACTGCAAGTCTGCAAGACTGCAACATACCATCTTGTTTGAAGCAAGAAAATCCACATACAATTGGGAAGCAGAAATAAGAAAACCCACATGAAATTTCACAAAAAAATCACAGATTTGATGCTCGAAACAAGAAGCACAGAGAATTAGTAAGTAGAAACAAGAGAACTCACTACAAATTGTTTTAATTATGCATTTGTGCGACCGGAAACTAAATAAATTGAGTAAAAAAATGCAAAATATCCTTTCTTCTATCAAATTACAGATTTGAATCGATAATGCAACATATAATCTGGGTTTTAAACAAGAAAACTCACATAGAAATCGGAAGCAGAGATGCAGAGATAGATGTTCGAAGCAGCATTAACCCTTGAGAGACAGGTGGATAGATTTTTTCTGTTGTGAGAGCTGCAATAGAAACGTCAGTGAAAAGGACTAGAAATAAATGCGCCCAAAATCGGTGAATCCTGTGGACTGATCTGTTAACCGGATCTTTAGGCGATTTGTTAGGAACGACGTCGTGAAAGAGGCCTTAATACGATTTGCGACGTGCATAACTTTTTATTTCTTTTGGTGTCTGCTGTGTCTAATCATTTCATAGATTAAATAACAAATTCAGATAAAATATTTTTTTCCAACATAAAAGAAATATTCAATTAAAACTATACTACGACAAATACACTTACTGATAAAAAAAAACTAATTGTTCCATCATGGTATAGTAGTTAATAGGTTTGACAAAATTTTACCTACCATGAAATCATTTACTATTCATAAAAACATGATGTTTGATTATGATAATAGATTTGAGAAAACGTGTCTACACTAATTAAATTAGTGACTTTATTTCGTTCATGTCTTGTTAGTGTAATAAAATATTTAATTATCTATAAAAGGAAGTTTATTACCATTGAAATAATCACTCTAAGACATATTAACACGACACAAATAAGGGTTAATTATCGATTATTATGATCTTTATAAATTGTAACAACTTCATTATTTATCAAGAGATTATTATTATTTTTTTTTTGTATATAATACTTCATTTCACCAATATTTTAATTGTCATCGTACAATGAGTGAGATGACAAACGGGCAACAAGCTGTGCCGCTAAGCCTTTTTGAAACAAAGGAAATTCTATTGAAATTTAATACAAATATAAATTAGAGAACATACTTGAATGCGAATCATAAACATAAACATCAAAGATTAAGACATGCCTTAACGTAGCGTCATTTAATACAAATACAAATCAGAAAACATATTTGATATGAAACACAAGCATAAACATCAAAGATTGAGACATGCCTTAATCAACAGTTTGTAGCCAATATGAACCGATGAAAACCAAGGAACAAAATTCAACGTTTATTGTGTTCATGCCCGTCCCAGAGAGTAGACGATAGGGGTGACCGTCCAAGCTCCATCATTTAAAAATGCCCAAATTTTTTATGTATTTTATTGTGTGTGTGTGTATATATATATATATATATATATATATATATATATATATATATATATATAATAAAATGTTATATTTAGAAGCTAGTTTAAGTAAATTTCTTTCAATTATTAAGTTATTAT